TATCTTATCAAAACAATCGGCTAGTGGAAAAGACAGCGTTCGCATAAACTGCTTTAGCACTTCAATCGTAGCAATAAAAGCACGTCTAAAAACTTGGTGCCCGCCACGAACCAGCACTGGGGTTCATACATTTTGCATGTGCACAATGTTTGGCCATATTTCTTGATGTCTATGCCGTCGCCGGGACCGGTAGCGTTTCACGCGACGCTTGCCGGTTTTTCGACGTGCGGTTTCCGCGGCACAATCGTATTTTATTAACGGTCGAACGGGAATGCAGCGGGTCACGAACGAAATGCGGAAAACGGTACGCGGTATCGTAATACGTCGTCTCTACGATGTGAGCCGGAAATCATTGTCAAGCGGTCGATTGTTAAGCGGTCGTGAGACGGACTGTCCACGCAAGAACTGACCCCAATGTTCTGACCTAAGGTTCTGTGCATTAAACTGAATATTGTGTCGATTTTACTAAGATTCAGTTGTCCATCTATAACGCTGTATGATGTAGATAATATGACGGAACTAAAATTCAGTATAAGCCACGACTCGTGTTAGTTATTAACATACTGTCTGTATAGTGTACGCGAGTAGTACACATTTAAATAAAACACTCTAACGGTTTAAAACACAATATATTAGTTAAACGTATTTGAAATATGATTTTTAACCTCGGCCCGACGTTTCGGATGCTTGTCTCCCCGTGACCACGGCTGCTGCAAAGCATCCGAAACGTCGGGCCGAAGTTAAAAATTATATTTCAAACAAGTTTAACTAATATATCGCGTTTTAAACCGTTAAAGTGTTTTATTTAAATAGTTATTATAATTTTCCTTTATTTCATTGCTATAACAACAAATTACTATTATAGTAATATATTATACACATAGTTTTGATTAATACAGAACCCATCGTGCGAAAGTTCGATTCGTACTTGGCTGGTTTTTTCTTAGTAACCCCTGCGTTTACTCTTCACTCTATCTAGTTTTATTTCCTATTCTGTGAAACGAATCGCTTGCGGGGTCAATTAGTAAATGGGTGTAATTTGCATCCAATAGTTAATTGCTTTATCTAGAGATTCTCGTTTAATCTTTTGCTCTTTTGATGTAGATCTGAAGTTCAATTTCGCAACGAAATTGTAGTGTTATGACTGTGCAAATGCAAGATAAAGCAAATAAAATTCATACCTTTAACAATTAATAGTAATGTTTATAGTTCATAGATTTAATTTAAACTATACAACTTTAATTGCGCTGTTTATCTAAATTAAAATCATACAAAGATGTGACAATCGCACATTTTCGATAATAAGGGGATTTACAATTTCGATGTCTATGCTTTATTTAAAGGAACGATTTCGATAAGTCGAATTTTTCGATATTACGAGAATTGCTTGAGAATCTTTTTAAACTTACTTAAAATCAAATAATTCACCTATAGAACTATTAAAAGATTCGCTTTACTCTTATAGCTTATATCTCATCTAGCCTGGTTTTATAATTCTTACTAATATTATAAATGCGAAAGTAACTCTGTCTGTAACTCTTTCACGCTAAAACGAACGGATACTGAACGGATTTGAATGAAATTACACTGATGGTCTAGACCCTGACAAAGAACATAGGCTTATTTTTATTGCGAAAAGGGGGTTGTAAGGAGTTAAAAGGGGGGGTGAAAGTTTGTATGGAAATTCTTGGTTTTTGAAGCTGGAACATAAAAACTTTCTTCTTTGGCTTTTTGGGAATAGGAGTGGGAGTGGGAGTGAGAGTGAGAGCCTTACGGCAAAGTAACACTTACAACATAGATTTGCTGCGATAAAAGAGCAATTACATAAATTAATAAACAGCCTAAATAATTAAAACATCTACCCGCGACTTCGTTCGCGTGGAACAGTCACTATTCCACGCGAACGAATTCGCGGACACAGCTAGTAGTAAATAATCCTACCTTGCCGGGACTACGGCTGCTGATATCCGTCATGAAACGTCGGGTTTGAATAAGTTGAGTTATATCGTTTTAAATCGTTAAATATGATTTATATGTCTAAATAAACTGTTGATTATGTGTAAATTTGCATTTTAATATGGGGCCATTAAAAAATTCGTGCCGTTGGCGTGCGAAACGGGCATAGATGTGTCATGATAATATTTATGCATCTGATTGGTGTCGCCGGCGAGGTGGCACGCCGCTCGCACCGCGGCTGTCGCAATCTCTGATTTATAACAGCAATATAACGCCAACCTGTCATGCAGATATTCTTATAACCGTTCCGACTCAATATTGGGTTCTCTAAAAGTATTCTTTTCTATATTAACTTTAATATGGCCCAGCTTTTAGTGCACTTACTGCACTTCCATCTGGAAATATTACCGTCTGTTTTACCTTTGTTCTATTACTGTGAAATCTTGAGTTCAGTATTCGTAAAGAACGATTCTTAGATATTTATTATTTTTACAAAAAAATGTACCTAAGAGCTGCTCGTTCTTTTTCCTTTGCTGTATCTTGTTATTTCATTATAGGTTTCAGATTTATATACATATCGAAGGAGAAATAGGGTGATAAGATAGCTGAAAAGTATAATAACACACGCAATGGATTTTTTATTGTTATCCCGCTTGTGTCATGTCCTTATGGATTGCCGATTCAATGGTTAAACTTGTTGCCTAGTAATTCGAAAAGCGCGGCCCTGGGTTCGAATCCCGGGGAAACAAAAGATTGTTTCAATCTGGCAGGGTACAGTTGTAGACAAACCGATCAATGGTCCAAAAATGTAACAAAAGCCAAAACAGTTTGACAGCGCATCTAGTTTAGGTGGCTAGGAATTTCACCTTCCATCAAATGAACTCCACGCTTATCTATCCTGCTCTATCACAATAAACAATCTAAAATAAATTAAAACGGACACAAAAATATGTTCGCCCCACGGAAACGGGATTTCACTTCTACTGCTGCGTCGTTTAAATTGGTATTTATTTTCGAATCGCACAGAAGTTCAATAGAAAATAATTGCGCTTTTTATTTTAATGTTGAAAGAGCAAGAGTGGAAAAAAAAACTGAAAATATTCCCAATAGTCTCATTAGATTCCAGACGCAGCGCATTGTCGTTGGAGAATTGGAACCGAAGAGCCTTTTGCATTCAAACTTTAATAACTACTTATAGATATAAAAGAGGTCGTTTTCTTCATTAGAAATGTTTTTGAACTACGGAAGGTCTCACTTTTAATAAACAGAATGTTTATTTCAATTTTACATTTATGTAATCAATTACATTGCGTATTTTTGTCACGTTTACATTACTTAGACAACAATTATCACGTCACAGTTATATGTACGTTGGTACGTCTTTGTTAAAGTTTTAAAGTAACCATATATATATATATATATATATTGACAAAAGCCAATCATCTTAGAAACCCAAAAAATTGTCTTATCTACTTTATCTTAAAATGCAATTGATTGAGTCATCAAAGCACATTTAGCGTGATTACATGTATTATATGTTATAGAAAGGCCAACAAGGCCTTGATGGTAGGTGAAATATCAACCATATAACATTTGAACAAGATGCGATATCAACCTATTTTGGCTTTGGATATTCGGAAATCCACCAACTGAAACCGAAATTCGATAAAACTTCACGGCTTTTTCATCTGTGGACAATCTGTTCGTGACTTGACGGAATTCCGATATTCTCACCACCCATTTAGTATCTATATTTCAGAAAAAAAAATTGATTAGAAAAATGTTGAACCCGGTGGGAATCGAATCCATGACCCGTTGATTATTAGCCATACATAGCTACCATTACACCAACGAGCTCGTAATAATATATAAACATACATATATAATCATAATTAACATTGATCACATCTCATTACTATAGTAATTTGTGGGGAATTTTCGCACTTCCAGTCCGGTATATTTCTGTACTTTACTATTACGGGTACCGTCGGCAACGTAATTGGTAGATACATAGGTGGTGTAAATAGCAGTTAGGTACCGGCAGCGCGTTCAAGTGAATCTTGTTGCAGTTTGCATAAAATCGATATTCGATGCACCGTCCACGCCACAGAACCGTGTGAGCTTCAATTCGCATCAACCGATTCGAATTTGCCTTCGATTTCACAATTTTCCAATGATAACTGTAGATTAACTATTATAAGGTTTTATTGGGGCCGTAAATTAAGTTTTGCATGTTGTTAAAGCTTTAAAATGTAGAATTAAATGAAAATGTATTTGTTCTCATGCCAAAATAATTAAACTCGCTAGGATCGAATCTGAAAACTGTGTGTTGCTTACCCGACAACACATTTGAATAGAACACTTCTAACGGTTTAAAATACACATGTATTAGTTAAATTTATTAACAAATTATTTTAACTGTATTGTGGGGCCGCAATTATTATAAGTTCTAAAAGTTGTTAAAGCTTGATAATATATTTAAAATGTAGAATTAAATGAAATTTAATTATTTATTTGTTCGCATGCCGAAATAATTAGTTGCCAGTATCGAATCTCGATAGTGCACTTTTGAGGGTTTAAAACACAAAATGTATTAGTTAGACTTATTTACGACTACGGCCCAACGTTTCGGACGCTTTGCGGCAACCGTCACGAGGCGACATCTCGTCTATTCTATATTTAAATCACATTATAATTATAATTTATGCTTGACCAGTCAATTTACGACAAAAGAGGTAAGCATTCGAATATTCCGGGCAGGAGTTTCGCGAAATCTAATTTGCTGGGACGTGAACTTTTGTCACTGCATGCCAATTAAATACGCCGAGGGTTGGGCACCTCTGACTGGACTCATCATGTGCATCTGTAAACACTTATTGACCTGATGACACCGGCAATTGGGTAATGAAATTCCAGCTCAAACAGCATTTGGCTGTACTCGTTCCTATAGTTGTTCTACTTTTAGACTTTGATCATAATTTAAAAGCGTATATACTCAGTTGCATAAGAAACATATTTAAATTAAGTTGCAGAGACAAATTCATATGATACAACTAGGTACGTAATAGGTTGATAAAAAAAAACAAAGTTAAAAATAATTACCTTTAAGGTATTTTATTACAATTTTAATATATAAATATTCGATAGATTTTAGGCATTGACTGTTTACCGAGAAGTACGCGTTGAAATATAATACATTTTTACGGTTTAAAACTCGAAATGTATTAGTCAACCTATGTACAATTTATTGCAAATAAGGTCCCCCGTGAACACGGCTGCTACAAAGCCACCGAAACTTCGGTCGGTATTTAAAATAAATTGTAAAGAAGTTTACTTAAACATTTCGTGTTTTTCCGTTAAAAGGGTTTTCAATAATCAAATATTATTTCACGAATTACATTAATCCGTACTTATTTTGGCGTTAAAAGTTATTATATATAATAGTAATAAGACGATATGTTTTTCAAAAACAATATATTAAACAGTAATAACATTATAAATTATAGGGGGGGCACCCAAAAAAAAACACCCGGGGGGGGCCCCCCCCCCCCAAACCCCCCCCCCCCCCGCCCCCCCGCGGGGGGGGGGGGCCCCCCCCCCCCCCGCCGCCCCCCCCCCCCCCCCCCCCCCCCCCCCCCCCCCCCCCCCCCCCCCCCCCTTAAAAAAAAAAAAAAACCCTTTTTTTTAAAAAATTTTTTCCCCTGTGTTTAAAATCTCCTCTTTTTTTTTTTTTTTTTTTTTTATAAAAAACCCCCCCCCGTTTAAAACCCCCCCTTTTAAAAAAAAAAGGGTTTTTTTTTTCCCCCCCCCCCCCCCCCCCCCCCCCCCCCCTTCCCCCCCCCAAAAAAAATTTTTTTTTAAAAAGCCCCCCATGCCCCTACAAATAAATAATTAATAAAACAATAACATTAATAACTTTTAAAAAAGACCTTTAATCTTTTGAAGAAATAAAGTTGCCTTCTCTGCCAACGCAGACGCAGTTTTCACGTCAAATGTTTCCGTTTCCGGTACAGATTTCACTTTGGGTTTGTTTTAATGTCAACACAATATTGGAAATACTATATCTAAGTAGCTATAGTAATTACAGCTGTTGGTACAATTAAAGTAATACACTGTCAATAAATAAGTTTAAATCGTATGTTAAACAAAAACTGCTTAAAAATGGTTGTTAAAACGTAAATCAATATTTAAATATTAATATAAATATAATAGTATAGTTTGAATATTCACTTAGGGTTTGGAAGAACTCGTTCTAACAAGGAAAAGATGTACACATTAAGTGCGCAAAGAACTTGTAACAAAAACTCGACGATAAAAGGATTGGCGGCGAGTTTCTTGCCAGTTCTTCTCGTTGGTTTTCTTCTACGCCCTTACTTTGGTACCTACTACCAGTGTAAATGTAAGTTTACACTTTTTATAATTTCTAAATACATTATTTATTTATTTATTTTTTTATAAAAATCCTCAGGATGGAAATTAGTTGAAAAGGGGTCTTTCCTGTTTATCTGATTATATTTATTTAAAAATATTATGTCTTGAATATGAGGTAGAATCCGAAGCAGATTAATTGGCTTCAAACTCAACTTCGTTTCAAGTCGATGCAAAAAAGTTAGAAATTTATTAACAACTTTGCCTACAAACTTTTAATGTGAATAAAATAAGCTAAGATAGCTAAACAGAATATGAAGCTATGGGAATTATTTATCTTATCATCTATGCTACTATTACTGTTATTTCAAACACGTACCTATAACCCTAGTTTACAATGATACATTTTTAACTGACCAACCAACGCGTGGTCTAAATAAAATATTGCAGTAACAGAATATTTCCAGCATAGATTATCGTATGAATAAACAATAAAGACATAGAGGATTGAACTAAATTTTACGACTAATAACAACATCCAAAATTGTACTCTAGAATAAAATATTTTTATGAACCGCAATTATGGCGTTTCAGCGAGTTCAAAGCGTGGAACATCTGTCTTGCGAGTTACGTTGTATTAGAAACAACATTTTCCAATTGTTTGTACGTGCTCGGTAAGCTGTTCTTTCATTAGACGTAGACGTCGCTTGCAAGAAGCCCGTACTCTGTACAGTCAAGATTGATGGGCCTTGGATGGATTTGTTCCATTCGGGTTCCCTCATCAATCATTCGCGGATATTTTTCCATGTCTCAGGTTGTTTAGCCTAAATAGATTGTAGCCTTTGAAGCATCGCTCATATCGACATGTATATCACATTAACTTTTCTTATACTTCCTTCTTTTTATGGTAAACTTGGGTTTCCTGCCGGGTGATAGAGTGACCAGAAATTTACGTTTGACAAGCCGTGTAGAAGGATTTCCTAGAGATGCATTCTACTTAAAACGACCTATATCTTTACTTAGAAAACTTTAACATATTGCACAAGATGGCACTAAATAAATTTTTATTTCAAGTTATTATCGATTTTTAATTTATATAACTCAACTATAGTATATACAATAGTTATATTATATTGCTAAGTTTAAACGATTGTTCACAACTGTTCTCTTGGATATAAACGTGTATAAACAGAATTGTTGTTTTCCTTCTCTTTTTTTTTATACATTTGCCTACATTTATTCTAATTTTATTTTTCGAACAGACAAACTTTCTTATTATAGTAAAAAATATTGCTAATTGAGCCGTGATACATGTTAAATTGTGGAAAATTCCTATAAGTAAGAAACGAAGTGAAAGAATTTCCCGTAAAGCCGATGCCGTTGTGGGGAGGGAAAGGGAAGATTACTTTTGTTTTCGATCGAACGGCAAACGGCAAAACGATACAATGGAATATATTATTATGTGTTTGTTGCAGAGTCGCTGTTCCCTCGGTTCGTTGAGCCAGTACCGAATGTCACTGTGACTGTTGGTCGAGATGCCTTATTGGCGTGTGTTGTTGAAGATCTTAGAGGATATAAGGTGAGTAATCCAGAACCGCCTCTGTAGTTAAATAGTTAAGAGTTGCCTAGCATTGCGATGAGCGTGAGAGGTCCGGGAAACAATAGATTATTTCGGTCGGGCAGGGCATAGACATTTAATCAACTACTTGCTTGTAAAGAAACGGACACAGAAATGTGATCGCCGCATGCCTCGGAGGAGAAAACGGGATTTCACTATAGATCTTCCAACATAATATGAAACATAGGGCACAGGTCACTTATGAGAAGCATTGATAATCTTGTCTAGTGGTATGTACAGTGGCTCTTGTTCGTGTAATAATGCTGGATCACTTAGTGCATAGAATCAATGAAATAAATTATGATCTAACATTTATTACTTGATGTAAACAAACCAAATTCATTTCTGCCGGACATCTAAAACTAGTATCCGACTTATATAACTTTGTTAAACTAAAATTGACACCACTGAAACAATATTTAGAACCTAAACCAGAGTTTAATAAAGGTCAACTGATATTGGCATTTTACGTGTAACTAAATATACATTACATGCAATTTTACTTACAATGTAATATTTTTAATATTTATTAAAACAGGCAAAACATAAAACTGCAATGTATATAAATGCAATAAAAATGTATGAGTTTTTAAATAAAACACTTTAACGGTTTAAAACGCGATATAATAACCCATTTTGGAAAAGATTTTTAACTTCGGCCGGACGATCGGATACTTTGCAGCAGCCGTGGTCACGGGGAGACTGTCCGAAACGTCGGGCCGAAGTTAAAAATCATTTCCAAATAAGTTTAACTAATATATCGCGTTTTAAACCGTTAAAGTGTTTTATTTAAATGTGTACTACTCGCGTAAACTATAGACAGTATTTAATGCATGAGTTCTTTAACGGCTTCCATGTTTTTCTAAATATTTCTTAAATACGGTTACGTATGAATGTAATTATATTATAACCACTAGCCATTACCCACGACATTGTCGGCGTCCCGTCGCTCTTGCAGGTTAATCTTCTTAAAAGACATATTCGGTCGCAGATATTTTTGAGGTCACATAAAATGGAATAGTTCTTTCATACAATATTTTTGATTTCTTGGATCGTTTTAGCAGCGCACCCTGAATAATTTCCCCCGTATTCTTCCACATTTTTCAACTTTTCTTCGCTTCTTTTTTCGGTCGCATCGCGATGTTTTTATAGCCAAAAGTCTTCCTCGATAAATGGTCAATCCAACACAAAAGAAAAAAGAATTTTTCAATACGAACCAGTAATGATTAAGATTACGCCTTTAAACAAACAAACTTTTCAGCTTTACAATATTAGTATAGATTACCGCTTCTAATAAAATACGAAACCAAGCGACCAGTTACAACTATAATTGCATAAACGGATACATGTCAACCGGGATTCTATTCAAATCTCGCGACGCAATAAAGTTTTAACAAGCCAACTTAGTATCACTTCGCCATACGTCAGTTATTAATAATGCAGTGCGGCTAGTTGCGAGTAGAGTACCATTTAATTGTAATATGGAAAAGGATAAATGGGAAAACCAGTCATGAGCTAGCTTAGCCAGCTTATGAGTTAAAAATTTAAATAAGCTAGACTTAGTTGGTTACATTCTAGATTATTCAATCTAAATACATTTAAAAGGTAAAGCATTTCTTTAAACCAAAAGTAAATATAACGTAAGTAAATGTAATGTACTAAAATTAATAGGTGTTCTTATGTAAGGACTATGATATGAACATAGATGCCTTTAATATATTTTGCTTAAGCACTAAATAAACATAATATTATATAAGCTCTCCAAAGGTACATTTTTCAAAGCACATTCCAACTGTCTGTAATACAATACATTCTAAACTCAGTTCTTTTTGTATGACACCATATTTTTATTGTATGTTTCAAGAGAAAAATTAACAAACGTCCTTTATTGATTCCATTGATTTAGTTTTTAATATAAAAGTCCAATATTCACCGATACTTTCACGTATTCTATGTATTTCCTTTTCATTACAATTTGATTCGAATTCCGCAGATGCACCAAAAAAGCGTGCTTTCGAAGACGATTTAATATTCTTTGACGGGTAAACAAGTCCGCGCTCGTGTTCTCTCAACCATTGTGGCCTGGAACAAAGAGATTATTGAATTACCTCATTGTGTGCGCGGAATCGTGAATTATAGTGCAGAATACTAAATGACTACGTGATTTTTTCTATGGACGCGCACGACCTTATTTTTTAATTATTATTCACTTATAATATACAGGGAGCCTGGACAGAGGCAGAGATAACAGACTAATCTACTAGAGTACTTTATCTTTCAGAAATGAGGATTTTACGTGTATTTCAGTGTGTTCACTGACTCACTTATTATGTAACTGAAACATTTGTATGTTTATGGTATGATCCGAATTGTTTTTCTACCAACCACATTTTTTTAACATTTTTTTAGTTGACCCCATAATTGTCTGTCTGCCTCCATTTGACTACCGACCTACTGTGATTTTGGATGTTCGGAAATCCATAGACTAAAACCTAAACTTACGTACCTAAACGTGATTAAACTTCACGGTTTTTTCATCTGTGTTTCGTGACCCGGACAGAATTTCGATATTCCTACCTCCATTTAACATCCAGATGTCCAAACGAAGTCTAACATATTTCAGAAAATTATGAATTGATTAGAAAAATGCTGGACTAGTTTGGAATCGAATCCACGACCTGTTGAGTAATAGATTATTGCTACCCATACACCAACGAACCCGTCAAAGCTCGGGCATAAAATTTTTTGCATCCATTTTACTCATAAATTTTATTGACACACGTAGTAAATCAGATGTCTGCGTTCTTATTTTATTGATCGTTGATATAAAAACATTATGTTTGACACTGACTGGATTCAAACTATGAGACACTTCAAACACTTCTTATGTATTCTTATGGATTGTCCACAATATTGCCGTCGAATTGTGTCACCAGATGTACTGAAAGCCCTTTTTAGTCTTGAGATTTTAAGTAAAACGTTACCGTGGGTAAAATATCTCCATTATATTAAGTAACGCGATATTAGCGTTGTACAGGTGAGATACACAACACTGAATAATAAGGTTCATATTATAATGATATTATTATTATTAAGTAGATAAGCGATTAGGTATGCACTTAAAATAAATTATATATTAAGATTAAAGTAATAAGTAAATACATTTAGCAATACTTATACTCCTTAATTTCTTTTGACCTTTTTATAGAGTAAAATCTATTCTTATTGTATAAATAGTAGTTCCTGAGCTACTATGTTTTTGTTACTATGGTTTGAATTAAAAAATTGCTTTTTTCGTTAGGGCACTTATCGAGAAAGGCTGTATAACATCACGCTGCGAGCAATAGTAAAAAATTATTCGTCTTTGTAGGTTTGCGTTGCGTGGGCTGCAAAAATAAGATACCCAAAAATGAAAGAATGATTTTTTTTTTTAATATATCCAAAAAATGTCCGTGACAGTATATATCCTTCTTTAAGATTAACTGTAAGAACGAACGGACGCGGGCGAAATCGCGAACTCGTCTAGCTTTGACATAAGCTAAAAACTTGTTAACTGAAAGACAAATATCCCCAACTCTATGAACAAGCTATTGTTATAGTGATGCGATTTGGCACAAGACATTTTAAACAGCTGCAAATATTGCAATATTTTCAAAAATACCTGCCAATGGAGTAGATGATATGAAAACATTTTTAAAATAGAAACTATCTGTTTTTATCTTAAATAAGCAACTTTAAATACATTTTTTAATTAATTTTTTTAAGTGTAACGTTAAATACTGTCTATAGTTTACGCGAGTAGTACACATTTAAATGAAACACTTTAACGGTTTAAAACGCGATATATTAGTGAAACTTATTTGAAAATGATTAAAAATCAGATGATTAATAGTTTCAAATAATTTTAACGAATATATCGCGTTTTAAACCGTTAAAGTGTTTTATTTAAATGTGTAAAGTTATTTATTTTAAGAAGACGTGATTTTGCAAAAATGTCAATTAAATCCTAATAGGTACATTAAATTATTATTGCTATATGAATCCTGTACAATATAATAATTATATAGATAGATAAATATAATAAAGTAAAATAAAAAATAAAATACTTTTTCACCATAAGCTAAATTGGAAGACAAGCCTAAATTTTTGACAAAAATATAAATTTGTTAAAATTATATATACAGGTGGCGTGGGTAAGAGTCGACACGCAGACGATACTGAGCATTCATCACAACATCATCACTCAGAATCCACGGATCAGCTTATCCTACAATGACCATAGGTCCTGGTATCTTCACATCAAGAACGTGCAAGAGGTGGACCGCGGATGGTATATGTGTCAAGTCAATACCGACCCTATGCGGTCTAGGAAGGGATATCTGCAAGTTGTTGGTTAGTGCCTTCTAATACTTTTAATAATCTTCATCTATTGCCAATTTAGTTTTTATTGCTTGTAACACTTAGTTTGCAATAATATACAATTCTATTAGTTTTGAACTTACTGAAACTGCCTCGATTCCAGTGAGTAACTAAAACTTAAAAGCGAAGATCCTTTTTATATCCACTTAACATTTAAATAAAACACCATTAACCGTTTAAAACGAGAAATGTATTAGTTAAACTATTTTAAGATTTAATATCGTTTATACATTCATTTCGTGTTTTAAACCGTTGGAATTTGTTTTATTTAAAAAGGTTCTTTGCTTTTAAGTACTCACTTGAGTCGGTTTTAACTACTCACCACTACCAGACAATACTAACCAAAGAAGCTGAATTTATAGAAATTTCAGTTTTTTTCTTAATTATGGTGTTACAACACTTATGTACATAGTTATTAATTGTAAAAGGCATAATATTGAATCTATTAATTCTATCTTTACTATGTATAATACATTTATTTTAGATGGTTATGTATGAGGCGTGATTCATTTCAGCATACTTCTTTCAAAACATCCTTTTTTACATACTCACGTTAAACAATATTGTATACCTTAGTGCCACCCATGATAATCGACAACATGACATCGACGGACATGGTCGTACGTGAGGGTACAAATGTCACCATGCTATGCCGAGCCACTGGGTACCCAGAACCATACGTCATGTGGAGACGGGAAGACGGCCAAGAATTCAACTGTAATGGAGAGTTAGGTAATTTGCAATTCAATTTTCATACCATCTCCGTTAGGGTGTGGTCTCATATAAGCGCCTAACATTTCTTATCACTATTATTAAACTAGCTGAGTCACGCGACTTCGTACGCGTAAAATAATTTTTTGGATAACAATTTTTGTTTTTGTTGACTAGAGTTGCTCTATGAATTTTTTTCATAATTTAAAGAGTAATAATTCTTCATACCTAACTTTCTTCCATAGCCTTTCTCAATAAATGCTCGAATTAACACAAAATAACAACCAGTCGTTCCTGATATTAGGGCGTTAGGGCGTAGGGGCAAACAAACACTTCAGCTTTATTATATTTTTGTATTACTAATAAATTTATATATATTAGTATAGATTCGAGGATTGTTCTCTCTTTCACACGTTAGTTTAATAAACGTATTCGACGATCGTCGCACGTCTTTGCGATGTGTCTCTTGTTATTTCGAATGACAGCAGAATACTTTTGACGAGCTCGTTCAAAAGATATGCTATTTACGCATTATAATATAATCAATGGGTTGTGGGTTTGGCTCCCACCAGGGCCATGTTTATCAAAGTAATGTTATATTTTTATGAAACATTTTAGATCTTGTCCAAAGCCGAAATAGGTTGACAGCGAGTTTCTTTTGAGATCTTATGTAGTTTCGGTATTTGGTTTAAAGACACTTATATGAGGAAATTATTAATAAAGTATATACATTACTACTCATCACGCGGGTAGTTTATAATAAAATCTTAACGATATTACATCTTCCATCAAGTAACATATTTATCTTATCTCTACTGTAATAAAAACTCAACGTTAAATCTATTCGTAAACTGTAGTAGTTGTGAAGTACTTCCTTCATCTAAGGAACTAATTGTACTTACTACTGACAAAGGATCTAAAAATACCCATTTTGACGCGTTATTAGACCGCAGCCTTAAAACAAATACATATTTTCCAACTACATAAAGAATTGTAACAATCCCGTCGACGTAGATTTCTTTCAACAAATATCCGATGGCAACATCCTGTTCCGACGATCATTATATAGACTCACTCGCAGAGAAACAAAACAGATGGAAAAAGGGAAGCTTTTGGAGCGCAAAAGTACAAGTTTGAGATCGAGTGAGAGGCTCTGAAATACTTGAACGAATCGAGTTCATAGATTGACGAAAATAAAAGAGAATATAAGACGATTTCAGATTTATTCCGCGCGCTATAATTTGGAGGGGCAAATTTTATGTTTCCCTTCTAGATTAAACAAATTTGAAACACCAATGGTTTGTAAACGTCTCGGCGAAATGACAACTTGAACCGATCGTTTCGTTCTCAACCCAATTGTACAATCTTCGCATAGTCGAAATATTTACAAGATTGAATCAGAAATTGAAAACGGAATTTGTCCGCTATAATATTGTATTAGATTTTCTTTTACGTTTCGAGGAACGAATTGCTTTTCATACCAGCGTGTTTGATAAAACGTACAACAGCGGAGTAATCTCGGGTACAGACAGAAATAGGATTTGTCGTAGTTTCATCAGGAATAATCGATTACTTTGGATACTAGAATGCTCGTTTTATTTCCAGTAAACGTAGTGGATGGGGAGAATCTAACAATATCGAAGGTGTCACGTCTTCACATGGGCGCTTACTTATGCATTGCCTCTAATGGTGTTCCTCCATCCATCAGCAAGCGAGTGGTGCTTATGGTTCAATGTAAGTATTACTTATTAAGCAGAATAACAAAAAAATATATCACTATCAATAATACGGCCCCGAGAAACGTATAATTAACGTACATGAAATAATAAAATTGTCAATTTTCAATAATTACGTTACCTTCAATTATTTTTTGGTAATTTGAGTTTGATTTTTGTTAATTGTCACGTAACTTGTGTACGACACGTGTATTATTTGAAAACTTTAATATTTTTCACATGTTGGCATTATGCACATGATGGCATTAAACATAGATTTTGCATTGAATAAAAAAAATGCCCGCCTGCACGTCCCGTCCTAGTCATAATTTTTTTTCGAACTAAAATCAATTTTAATCCTTTGAGATCTCTCTAACCAATTGAGCTAGCTCAATTTCTTAGCAGCACGCAAACCTATGAATGCCGTTTTAAGTCTAGTCCGTCTCGTAAAATTATTTTATGAAATTTTTGTTTGCTAAGATTTTCATGGCTATTTCAAAGTTCGTTAGCTTAGTGTTCGAATCAAACGCACTTGCTCATTGCTATATTTCTCTATGTAGAGTCGAAACGATTAGATTGATAGACAGACATCAATATCATTCCAACCGAGCTAATACAAACTTCATGCACATGATTATAATGTATTCAATCGAAACCCGCACGTGTCGGATTCCCACAGTTTAATTAAAAACTTCAAAAACTAATAACATAACCTACTAATTATATGAAAGCACAAGTTTAAAAGGCCGAATGTTTGTTAGAACTTTACGCCTAATTGGCTTGATCGATGTCTATATTTTTCTCTCAATGTTTAAAATAGTACTGTTTTTAAACAGAAAATCTAGTATGAACTATTTATTGTTTAAAGAAACATTTAGTGTCACGTTAGTTAGTGAACGTACAAAATACAAGTATTCTTTATTGTCACAAAACAAGAAACAGAACATAACAAAAAATAAAATTGATTAAACTAGGGACAAACGGCGGCTTTATAATATTCTTCCAAGCAACCTCACTGAAAATGAAAACACAGTAAACGAAAAAGGTATGCGTGACAGCAGAAATTGTACTTAACTGTAACTTATAATAACAATAATACAAAAATAAGTTTAATATAATATACATTATTTACTAACAAAACTGGGAAAAGTAACTTGAGAGAACTTATTCCTTCAAAAGTGGCAAGTTTTCATAATTTTGTTTACAGCCAAATTTCGCATAAGTCGATTTCATTTCTACCGTCGTTAATGCGATATAACGTTGAAAGTCCAAAATACTTCAACAACGCATTTTAATTTTAGTATTTCATCATCTCTGAACCACTCTGTCCTTCTCAGTAAAAAAAGAGTCCTCTCAAGACAGACGCTAGATCTTAAACTTCGCGTCCATTACTTGAATAATTCCACGTAGCCCGACAAACGTCAGCGCTAAGTTATTATTTTCCAGAGGCGAGTGTCGTTAACGAGTATTTACGAGCAGCGCTACCTGACTGCGCCACCGGATCGTAATTGCGCCCAATTAGAACATTATGCTGACGTGGATACGGCGGCGGGCGATAATAGCGATACTATCTCTAACCGAGCCAACGTCGGGGACATTTTCGTTCCCATTCCGAAGCCAATGAGACGTTTCTTTCCCCTAATTCACATTCCGTATCTCAGCACGTTCACAGCTCTCTAAATCTCATAAAGGACACGTAAAATTCTCACGTAACTCACACTCGATTAAGCGGGAGACTTCCTGATGAATCTGTCAGTTTCATTATACTCGAAGCTACCCTCTCCACTGTGTTAGCATTATATAATCCCTGGCCCAAAAGCGAACTTATAATAGCGAAATTGACAACTGCAGTCAGCCCAATAATGCAATCTTGACTTCTACGGGCAAGTTTATGGGGAACTTTGAGAGTACGTTGGATAGTGTTATAATAAGTAGTCATTTATAAGTGTGGATATAGACATACGGGGTATATAATAAAACACGGAAACGGTTTGAAATGCGAAATATATTAGTTGAAAATATTTACCATTATTTTAACTACATTCCGACCTGACTCGGATGAACTGTCTCCCCGTGACCACGGCTGCTAAAAAGCATCCGAATCATCGGGCCGTAGTTCAAATAAATTGTAATTGAGTTAAACGCGTAGTTCAAATAAATTGTAATTGAGTTAAATTTCGCGTTTTAAACTATTAAAGTGTTTCATTTAAATAAATAAAGTCTGACCGAGGAAGATCATTGCCATTTGTACGTAGCTGGTAAACCAATAGAGACAAAATAAAAAAGAAAGGGAAGGGTTTATATATCAATATAATACAATAAGTCTTAAATATATTATTTTATTTAAAGAACTGTTAGCTCCTATTTTATGACATACTTCTTGGTGTGATCTGCGGTCCATGATAAACAGTATAATCAAATAATTTAACATGAAACCGCACTTCCTACAAAAAATCACAAAATTAAACTTTTATTCTAGTCTCTTGTGCAACAGTTTGTTCTTTGTATATTTCTTTATTATAAAAAAAAGAATTTGGCTCATAATGGTTTTAACAACGTATTATATTATTATTAAAATTCAAAGACTAAACCTCCCTAAAAAATCACAAACCAATTCAAATAACCATGCACTGGTAAAAATACAAAACACAATAGAAATATGCTTTTAAATTCAATCTTATTTATCTTTGACTCGTGTAGATTTTTTTTTCGTTTTTATAATTGACACTTTATTTAACTTGAATAATTGAAACTAAAATTGTTCCATTAGCACGGACGTGCGGACAAACTCGAATGTTTTCTTGTACCGGTAATTTGTAAAGAATTATTATTCAACTAGCTGTGCCCGCGACTTCGTCCGCGTGGAATAGTGACTTGGAGTAGGATTTTTAATTATTTAGGCTGTTTATTAATTTTTGTAACGGCGCATTTAAGGCAGCCAATGGTAAGTGCTACTTTTAACGCAACACTCACCTCACATCACTCCTACTCTAACTCCCACTTTTATTCCTTCACACTTACTCCCCTCCACACCCACTCGCACTCCCACTCCCACCCCCTCCCATCGCACTCCCACTCCCACTTCGATTCCGAGAAAGCCAAAGAAGAAAGTTTCATTGTTCTAGCTTCAACACCTACCAACAAATTTCACCCTCTAATACAAACTTTCATCCCGTTTTTCAACCCCTATCAACCCATAGTTGGTTTAAAAAGTATCTATGTCCTTTCTCAGGTCTCTAATATCTGTGACCAAATTCATTTAAATCAGATCAGTAGTTTCGGAGTTAAAGAAGGACAGACAGACATACAGAGTACTTTCGGATTTATAATATTAGTATAGATGCATAGATTAAAAAACAATGTGATACAGGTGACAGTCCCATAATTGGACGTTGGTACGTCAATACAACGATTATTAAATGCCCGTGCATGTTAATAAGCTATTTGTAATGGCTCGCTCGCTGGTCGTTGTAGCTATTAAAGTGATTTATTAACATATTTGGATGCAGTCCCGCCGATGCTATCGATCCCGAATCAGTTGGAGGCTGCTTATGTAGGGCAAGACGTGACGCTGGAATGTCATACTGAAGCCTACCCATCTTCCATTAATTATTGGACGACAGATCGAGGGGATATGATCATATCAGGTTCGTATTGTTTTTAAGTCTTGTTACATATATATACAACTAGCAACTTCGTCCGGGTAGAATATTTTTTTTGGGCCAATAGTTTCTGTGATTAGCACTTTAAAACAAACAAACACTTTAACTGTATAATATTAGTATATCTATACTAATATATTTCTATCTAAATGCTATATTGGGTTGGAAATCAAACCCACGACCGATGCACGTGTTAGCGCACTACTAATTTGGCTACTTTACCATATAACATGATAATAGTCATTACATAAGTAAATAACTCTCCTTTAATTCATTTATAAATAAACGCATATAATAGGAATTACATCCTACATCCACTAAATGGTAATGCAATGTATGGTACAAAATTAGTAAGCGAAGTCAACGACGATAGAAGGTAGAAGTCCCACTGAAGCGCGATAGCTGAAAAGCGTTAAATAAGTCGTCATAAAAGTGATTTTGAATTTGAAGTCGTTTAGTCCATCTTAATGAATATTCCTTTAACCGTGTGTCAACAATCTGTGGCAACCCTACACTCTATAAAAGGATATCACTAGTTCTCTATGGCTTGAAATTGGCCATATTTAATGTGGTCTTTTGAAAAGAGGAACGTTTAAAGGATTCATATATTTATGTTTTAGGCAACAAATATATGACGTCCCTTAGCGATGACGGTTACAGTCGGAAGATGAATCTCGTCATCAAAAGGGTATCACCGAAGGATTTCTCATCGTACCGCTGCGTCGCTAAAAATTCACTCGGAGAGACGGACGGCCTTATACGACTTGATGGTAATGTTACTTTAAATATTCGAATACTGAAACCAAATGAAAAATCTAAGATAGAAGATAAAATTAGAATAACCTATACTGAATATAATTATAAATTAAAAGATTTTTCTTATTATATATTAAAAAAATGTTAATTTGATTGAATTAAGATATTATTTCACATAAAGCTATAATGCTATTACATTATAATCTTAATAATTAAAAAATGTAGATGTATTTATTATTTTTATTTTTATATATAAGATAACAGTTATCAAGTAAAATATAGTTCAAAGAATATTTATCCCCTTCAATTTGTAAGTGCTAAACTCAATCCCATAATGAAAATATCTCATTTTCAAAACAATTAACAAACACAAATTGTTCGTAGAAATACCAGCGCCGTCTACTATTAGCACGACAGTCAGCTACGTCCCAACGTTACAAAAGAAAAAAGGTAAAATCCAACAATGGCCGTATAATTAAAACTTGTCATAATTGTATTACAGCCATAACTGAAGTCCGATTGGATGTCTGAAGTGATTTCAGTGAAATAATTAATGTCGAAACAGACATAACCTAAGGCCGTGGTCTCCTATAAACGCTATAAATTAGAATAACGTTTTTTTACAACCTGAGATTAAATAGCTACTACGCGGCGTAACGCGTTACGTTGTGTGCCTCTGGCATTTATAGGAGATGACAGCCTTACGAACTGTTCAACACTTAAGATTAATTTTTCACGTTCATCTCGATTCACCCTTTTATGTCCGAATGGTTATTGGGAAAATTGAAAATTCAATATAGGCAAGTACAGCGCGATTAGAGCAATAGTCCAAAGTTCAGGCGGCCATGCCTTTTATGTATTCATCGGTCCGTGGGTGGCGTTCGAGAAAGGTCGATGGTGGATTTCGTATTTATTGGTTTTGCCAGTGCTCAATGCTTCCGCACAATGGCATCGTTAGTGATATTATTGTTGGAGAAGCGATTTTGTTTGCTCTTTCAAAATCTTATTGTTACACTTTTCCCTTACACGTGTTCGTTCAAAATTACTTTGATGTTATCAATTATCTTTGTAGGTAAACACAGAAATCGTTGGCGTGACAGTTCAGCTGAGAACAGAGTTATTGGAGATTATGAAGTTGAAGAATGGAAGGATATTGGTAAGTTAATCGACTTACGTTGTTATCTTATTTAATACTTCTCAGAGTAAATAACTTTTTAATGATGTTCAACATATTTGTGTTTTAGGTCACAATTTTTGGTCTCGGTAATTAGATCTTTATAAATTTCTCTAACGTAACTATTTTAAAATGTTGTGAGTACAAATTATCTTCGAAAAGCACATAATATGTAAACATATTTTATTTGTGCTAAAGCAAATAGAAAATATATCTTCTGTCCTACCAAATTGGAATCTTTAATCTTGAAGGCCATTCGATCATAACTATTTTTTTTTCTGATCATGTTCTTCTGATGTTGATCTTGGTGATACCTACAATTTATAAACAAAGAATGTCTGGGAATAGAAACGCTATTTATATTTTTGTATTCTACCAGATTACGATTCGACCCAGTCTTCAAGCTCCAGTGCTACCCAAGGGAGTACATTCATCATACTAATCCTAGTCTTGTTTAGCTGACAGCAATTATGATAAATGATATTTTAGTGCCAATGACTAATTTAGAATGTTAAAAAGCTTTGTGTATAGCGGATAAGTTAAAGAAATAGGGGGCAATTCTCAAAAGATAATGGACGTCGACTTCCGTCAGATAAGTCTTTGTGATCTATGTTCCAGTGGTCAATACCAACGGGTTCAACTTTAGTGAGTAACGAACCAACGTTAACTGGAAAAGTATATACATTGTGTATACATTCTAGTTTTGATTTTAGACTTATAATTTCCGTAATTCTAAGCAAAAATAGTTGAATAGCAGTTAAAAAGGTTTTTAATGTTTTATTAAAGTTGACGTAAATTTTTTATCATTTAATTGAGAATTGCGCCCTTAAATGGTAGTATTTTTTCGCCATTCGTGGATATACCAAAATAGTCTATCGCTGCAATATGAGTGAAACGGTTTCGAGAGATCCCGTGCAAAAATAGTCGAAAACTGCAAGCGATTGGATCCAAGTTGTAAACCTATTGTGGCTCCATTGTAACATTCGTTAGTTATCCTTTCCACTCTCTCTATTTTTCTGTAAGTGCAGTTGACGCTCTTGTAGTACTTTCAGAGGTGGCACCTTGTTAAAATATCGCTCTTTTTACAAAGGAATTGTAAATATGTATTGTTATGAAAGACTGATAGATTCTATGATAAATGTGCCATACGATCTCGTAGAAATATGGTTTTTGTTGTGATTGTAACCAATATCAACGATATGAAGAATAATATAACTGTTTCAAGTATTTAAAACTCCGTTACTCATACCTAACTATAATAATTTAATTGTATATAATGTGTACAATCTCTGTAAATAGTTACAATCTGTAATCAATTCTCTTAAAACCGACAATATACTGTGATTTTCGGAAGAAATAATTTTAATCTGTGGTTAATAGTTTGCGTACCTACTAAGCATTGTGTTATTTTGATTTCAGTAGTTTTCCTAGTTAATTAGCGATTCGCGTAGGTACTTAGTGATTGATCTAGAAAACATTAAAAGCGGCATAATTTTAACCATATTTTCTTGTAACATGTTTGGAAATAATATACCTAATATTTTTTGTTTCAAAATTATGCCTTATATGCACCTAAAGCATTAGAAAAAGGATTTTTCTTTAAATTTTAATCATCTAATCATAGCTCTAATTCATTTACATGTGTATTTTAACACAAAATATCAGAAATACATAATACTCCATTAATGACTTTATAATTTCAATTTTAAAACGCCTGTGTAGTTAATGTTACTTTTAGATGTTTAAGTAAAAAGAAATAAATGTTTTAATAATACAAACTGTCTATCATTCAATAAAGCTAGTTATTAAAACATAGGGATAAAATTATTAAAAAAGAAAAAAAAAAACAATAAAATAAACAGAATAAACATATTAAAAAAAAAAAAAAAAAAAAAAATTTTTGAAAAAAAAAAAAAAAAAAAAAAAAATCAAAAAGCTGGGCTTAGCTCTCTCCCTTAAAATAATTGAGGTTAGACGGTGCTCTAATTGGGATACGATGATAATAAAGTGCTTGGTAATCATCACAAATTTTACTCGATTATTAAATACATGTTATTCAAAATACATGTTCTCCGAGAAACGCACACAGACTACTATCAAACTCTTGAAATTAAGTATTTTATTGAAAAATCTGCAATAACATAAATACGAGACACTACAATTGAAACAAATTGCAAGAAACGCGACAAAAGAAGCGAACAATACATAGTTATGTTCGATATAACTTAAGGGTATAAGTCACGGACCGCTGAACTCATTCAAAGAAAAGCTTAGACATCTTCGGGGCATTGCGTTACTGAATACGAGGCAAATATTGCATGCGACCCACTTATAAAAACTTTAGCACTTCGAAACTTTATTTTCATACTATCTCAATACAAATCTCGTTCTAGCCTAGAAATTGTGAGACTGGCTGGATTCCATTGTTCCCGAAATTATTATACATTTAACAGTAGAGCTTGTTTTGCATAAAATAATAGAGAGTTCTTAGTGCTGTACGGGCTGCATAGCAGCGTGCTGTATTCATTTAGTATTAAGTAAATACGTAAGGATAATATGCTTATATGGTTTTGAATATATATACCAGTTAAATGAGTCCCGTTTCGCCATACACTGATCGATAATATATACCAGTACGTAGATAATCTCTCTGTACTTTCCTTTCACCATTTTTACTGTAACTCGGAATTCGAATCTAGGATTTTTTGTGCCTAACTCCCTTTATCCATAAAGACCCAATTGAAAACATATATTAAAGAATATCATTAGTTTTATTATTATTGGCGCTTGAATATTTATGATTTTAAATCAAGTATTTAAAAGAGAGACCGAATAAAGTTATTTATCCTAAATCAACGTAAGCATTTGTATATTCTTATACTTTATATTATTTACTTATTTCATTTAATTAGGGTCTTATATTCTATTCTTAAGTACATACAATATTAAATGAGTTCTTGACATATTAGTATGATGTACAAATAAGTGAACAATTATATGGTAGGACGACATTGGTACATTTGCTACAAATGTTTTGTGAAATTAGTCCGATTCGCATTTTAGTATAAATCTATCTCAATATATGAACTATAATCCTGGTTTCAATTTAAACTTCATGCCATAGCGCAGAATTCGTAGTAACGTTACCACGAGTAATTAATATTTCGTTTGGAACTAAATTAACAAGGGTTTTTATTGAATTATTTTTGTTAATATTTCACTAACGAACTGTTGTTTTATTTTAATATGTATGAACCTTTATTTCTCAACTGGTGACGACACAGTGCACTAATACGTCATAATACCGTCTCCTATTGTAAGATGACGTCAATAATGTAACAAAGATTATCTTAATAAATTGTGTAAGGCTTTCACGGCCATCGTTCAGCATATCATTGTCTTTCGGGCTGTTCGGCCGATGTGAGCGAGAAGAGGTTCTCGCGTTTTGCCATCACGTGTGGACGGCATCATCAGGAGATGTTAACTCCTCGATTGCTCGAAGAATTAATTAATTAATTCGAATTCATTGTCTTTCGACCGAATGATATAAAGATTATCTTAATTACTTAAAAAATAAATACACTTATGCATGTCACCGCATGGTCTAAAAATCTTTCGTAACGTACGAATTAATAATTTGCGTATTGTTATGTTAAAATTTATTAAATTATAAACATTATTTTATAACTATGGTATACCAAAATTTAAGTTTATTTAATGAATACTATCATAATTCCATAAAATGCTCTCACTTAGGAATTCACGCCGGGAAATTTAGAGAAATCTTGTCTTATCTCATTCTTTTTTTATGAAAGAGAAGGACAGTAAAGTATTGGGTAGGTTAAGTAAGCCAGCCATATAATATCTAAAATTATGCGCGGTCAGCCAATTTTTGAGTTATATCCGGAAATCCACAGACTGAAACCGTAAAGCGATTAAACTTGACGGCTTTCCTAATACTGAAAATTGCACTGCTATGCATAGAACCACCCATTAAATTAGCTTCTACCCGACAGTCAGTCAATCATTCCAGACGAAACGTTTAATTTGTATTAAAAATAACAAAACATAAGAATAGCGCTGATTTAATGGGAATAATTTAGAATCTTTATGAATCCATATAAATGATCCTCTGTTATTAATGTCTCGTCTCATTATAATGAATTATTACAAGTAAAATATTCAATTGTACCATCATTTAGGCTTCCTTTTGTTCCCGTGAATATTGTTATATCGGCAATATTTACGTAATCATCTGGGGGTCTTTGTTTTGAATTAGATTAGAAATATGCCCATTGATGTGTTATTAATATTTGATGATTTATTATTAGAACAAGGCTTTGATCAGTAATTTTAATAAAATTATATTCATACTTGTCATGAAAAAATGTCTCCGAAATATATAACTCCTCGTACACAAATGGCATCCCTAATTATATACTGTCTGTAGTTTACGCGATTAGTACACATTTAAATAAAACACTTTAACGGTTTAAAACGCGATATATATCAGGTAAACTTATTTGAAAATTATTATAACTACATTCCGACGTTTCGGATGCTTTGGTCACGGGCAGACAGGGCTCTAATATATATCGCGTTTTAAACCGTTAAATTGTTTTACTTAAATCCCTAATAATGTTCATTGACTACTTATTGTTACTGATTAATTAAATCTTATAGCAGAAAGCCTGTCCACATTTAAAAGACTCTAGCCATCTCAAGGATCTCTAAGGTTTTTTTAGAGTTTAGTTTTGATATTTTTAGTGAGTGATGGTTACCACTCACTAAAAATATCAAAATAAAACATCCTTGCTCTTGTTAAAGACAACAATCATCATTATCGAATATATCATTAATATTTTATACTCTTGTATGCAAGTTCTTGCATCTGAATCCACTTTTAAGACGATTCAAATACTTGGTATAACGGTCAGTAAATAATAATTCGAGCTGGAAATTTAAGGATACTGAATAACGCCGATTATAGGGAATAAGCTACTAAGTTTCTAGACGCACACAGCCGTAAACCGCTTCAATATCGAACCAGCAGCACGTCGAACGCTTATAATATAATGAGCTATCAATTTATA